TTTCTATCAGAAAGTATTTTAAACTTATTATTGTAAATAATACAAAATTTAATATACCATTGCAAATGATGTTAAGATTATTTCAAGTGAATTATTTTCTATAAAGCCTCTGTTATGGAAATCAATTTGTCACTGTTATATATTATCAAATTGAAATAAGTCTCGATTTTCTTATCATTGACTTCTTATCGCATCTAGACACAAAGGCTTTTCTCTCCTGCTTTTAGCAACTACAAAGCGATGCGTGACATGAAAGGAGGCGCATGTCGCAAATTGATTTTCGATGCTCAGGAGGTATCTCCGGACTTTGCGTTTAAACGTATTATCTGTCTACTGCAGATGTGAAAATAATTTTAAATTCCTTCAAGGATACGACCGTTTATCATTACAAAAATATGACAGATGACTAAAATTGCAAATTAATCTACAAACATAATTTTCTGATGAAATTTAATTCACATTTTCTTGCAGCAATTTCGTTTTTTTAATTCATTAAAATCACTACTTTTTATTTAAAATGTTCTGCTTAATTATCATTAAGAAACTTCATATTTAATTCTATTTTTAGATTAATTTCCACATTAATTTTTATAAATGGATTATTACATTTAACATTTATAGTTTAGAAATTATTTTATAAATTTTAAATTAATTTCGTATAATTAATTTTGCTTGATGATTAAATGATTATTTAATAAAATTTATCCATATCATGCGATTTCGCGTGAGCGCGCGGAAGAAACATACATAATGTCTATACGATACTTTCTACATGGTAAGCACATTTCCGGTTTCATATCTAACTTATTTTGTACATATCGTTTATTCATATATATATTACGAACAGAGCGGAAAAAAATAGAAATAATATGAAATAAATGTTTGTAGAACATTTAGCATACTTGTATGTACTGAACAAATATTGATTACCAGAAAAATTCACAATACTCTTGTCGATGGAAATCACAGGGCACATATTTCCGCGGAACTTTACAATATATAGAATTGATGTTTTTCATTTCAATTTTAAAAAAACACTATAACGAGGAAAAATATCAATAAAGTATTATTTTTTAGATTGTAAAATAGAGAAGATACGAGATATAGTAAAAATCAACCGACAAAATTCTAATTAATGAGTTATTAGTATTTGCGTTTAGATGCGCAAAATAAACTCCAGTACAAAATAAAAAATTGCGTTAAGATTTATAACTGTATATATAAAATTAGCCCCTCGTTAAGATAGTAGATGAGATTAGCAGCGATTTTTCACAAAATTTTACAACAGTATTTAACATACAGAATTTACTTGAGATAAACGTAGCAGATTAATTAACGCATCACCATTTACGCCTGTTAAAGAGCTAATTGTAGAATTTAAACGCTGAGCAAAACGTGTTCCGCTGACGATACAGTTTCGTAGAGTGATAAATCTTTAGCCAACCAAAGCCTGTGTAGTATCCACCATCTGGCGTCCGACACGAACACGCTCACGAGAGAAAATTGCTGAAGGAATTAAAGTCGCTCTTAAGATCGATATCCACCCTATTTCAGTAAACGACCGTATATTATTTTTTTCTATCCATTAATATGTACGTTCATTCATGATGTAAGAAGACTGAACTAATTTTAAGGATGAGTAGTCGTTAAAAGTAATGAAGATATTTGTGACTAATTTGAAATTGACTTCAAATTATCATTATGCGCAATGTTATACCTGGCCTTTTTACATTCAGTTTCGATATACAATGGCTGTTTTCGACTAACATATAAGAGAAACATAATCAAATATAATAAAATAATTCAACTGGTCGGAAATTTTTGGCAGCCATTATAGAGCAACCAAAATCATAATATAAACAGAAAAGAGATTGCACAAAAATAATTTTAAAGTATAAAATAAATTTCTTTTTTTTCACGAAGTTTTACTTTCGAGAAAATCCATATTGAAAATTAGAAAATTAATAATATCTTTTTTCTTTGTTAAACGAAGAAATTGAATAATTATGATTAATTTCTTAGCGCTCCTAATTGTCAAATTTATAATAAACATTTATTAAACATTTATAAAAGTATGCATTAAAATATAAATTTTTAAGATTCCTTTTAGAAAAAAATACAGACTTTTTTATTTCAGATTATTTATTTCACATTTTGGTTGCTACTATGCATAATTCATTGAAATGTTGCGCACCGCAAGTAAAATATTTATCCGCCTGGGATTACTTCCACTTTAATATGGAAGTGTAAAGCTGTATGAAATTTTCCTAGATTACATATAATGGGTATATAGATTCGAAAATCGTCCATTTGTTTGCCACGATTTTGCGGTTACAGACTGTAGCAATCTCTATATATGTGCATTACCGCAATGACATTGTTCAT